ACGGGCCACGCTTGCAAGCAAGCCTTTCTGAAGCAGGCCTGCTATGTTAACTCTTTTCTGCATGCTTGCCCTCTGCCTCACCAAACGGGCTTTGCACAGAGTCCCTGGGGTATTTCTTTTATCAGGTCCTCTAGTCCCTCAAGCAAATGCCACTTTATAAAGACTTTCCCTTCTTGGTCTCTAGAGTCTTCCTGTCCTTGAAGAGAAAGTGGCCCAGCCCCTGAATATGTGGTTATTTTCCGTAAGATTCAGGAAGGTACCACATGGGCACAGAGACACTTGATGCGGGACCATTCTGGGACAATCTCAGGCCACAGGATTCATATCCAGTCTGTTTTGCTGGCAGCTGCTTCTCTCACTAAGCCCTACCAACCCTCTATGATTCTTGTCTAAGGGAACTGACTTCTAAGATGATCTGGTGGCTGTCACAATTATTTCATCACCCTTCTCCAGAATTCCTGCTGAATCCTGCCCGGAGGACACAGAGACTCTAACTTTCAATTCCCTGTGTTCTGGAGACTGGGAAATCCAAGATCAAGGCACCAGCAGATTTGATGTCTTGCGAGGGTCGCTTTCTGGTTCATAGACTTCACCTGCCAGCTGTTCCCTTTCACTGTGGGAGAGGTTGCTAGCTCTCTGGGGTGTCTTTTATAAGTACAATAACCTAACCATGAGGGTTCTGCTCTCATGACCTAACCACCTCCCAGAGGCCCCCTAACTAATACCTTCACCTGAGAGAATAGAATTTCAACATATGAATTTGGGGGGACATATATATTCACACTATAATTTTCCCTTCTTGGGTTAATAATCCTCTTGTTTCTTCCATTATAGTACTCAAAAGGATGAGAAGAAATTACAACTGGCATTCTCTTGTCAGTGTTTCTGTGTGAAATGCCCATTCATTTGAGTAAGAAGAATCTGCTTCTATCTGCACTTATGAAATGTAATCAAACCAAGACAGGTTGTCTGTTTTTAAGGCAAAGTTATAATCCCTTATATGTCATAGTTTAAACTCCCTCATCTGAATACGTACAGCCTTGGGAGCCCCTAGCATTTTCAGTGTGCCTAGTTATACACCGTATTATGTCATGAGCTCACACTTTCTTATCTCCTTCAAAGCTGGTTGATGCTATACATATTTTTTGTTACATATGTATCTTTATGTTATATATATATATATATTTAGAGAGAGAGATGTGTGTGTGTGTATACATATGTATGTGTATATGCATGTGTATGTGTGTGTATATATATATATATATATATATATATATATACACATATCTTTCTCTTATACTACCTGGCACTATGATAAGTTTGATTAAAAAGTGTATATCTTTTATGGCTTTATTCTCAGAATGAAATTCCTAAGGGCTTTGTCGAGTTTTTTTTTCTTTTGGTACATGGAATTCTTTCCACAGGAATCTTTTCAGCTGAAACATCAGCACACTTAACCTTACTGCTGGCATTTTGAACTCCTTAGATTCCAACCTATCTTTTTATGTCACTAATGATTGCTCTAAATCCAGATCCAACCAGGTGTCCTGGGAATCAGTGGAGCCACATTGCCTATAGAATAAAATCTGTTACCAGCTCAGTATGCAAAGCTCATAATCTCAACTCTCTCTGCCCTGACTTGAACCCCAGACTCCAGGCTAACTCACTAACAGTTTCACACATGAGCTGTTTTATACTTTCTCAGTTTTGCCCACACTATTTCCTTAGCTAGTAATATTTTTCCTTATTTGGGTCCATCTGGTCAACTCCCGCCCTCACTTTCAGATTTAGCCCTGTGTGTTCTGTAACCACACCCCTTGAATCATCCCTGTGCACCCAGGCTGAGCTGTGCACACAACTCTAGGTCAGCGCTAATCACACCATTCAGCACTGTAAAAATAAAACCAATAAAAAGCCAAACCTTGATCATATCTACTACTAATTTGTGGACTTCCTGAGAACAGGCCTGTATCCTAGTTGTCTTTTTACCTTCAAGAGTCTAGCACAGCAACTGGTACACAGAGAGGCTCAGTAAATACACAAATGAAACACTGTCCTGGGAATGAAAGCAAATGTGGAAAATCACTCTTAATTTTCTAAATATTTTCATATGCTTATAAAAATTAAGGTATGAATTTGAAGAATATGCAGCTATAGTTTTTGAATGCTTTACACACCTTGGCCTATTAAAAAATTTAATAATAATATCGAAGTTTGAAACTTATTATGCTTCTCTTTTGTCTTGCAATGGAAGTGTGATTCTGTTCTAAGTACCACTCCCATTATTTGATTGTACGGACCCTGTGGCAGAGACTACCAACTGTCCTCTAACACTCTTTCTTTCTTTCTTCCACCATAAAATGATTGTTGCTGAGAATGTGGCTGCTTATATACACTGCATTTCCCAGATACCCTTGCAGTTAGATGTGGCCAAAGGATAGTTCTCAGCAGTGGAATATGAGGACAGGTGATATGATGTGTAGTACTTGCCTGTTGACTTCTTAAAACATCATGAGGTGCTTTTTCCATAACCACTGTCCCCTTCTGGATGGGTAGAACCCAGGTGACTCAGTCAGACCATGAAAGTGATGACAAGGTCTGGGGGTATGGCAAATAGCTCTTTTGTAGAAACATGAGTCCCTTAGTAACCATGTAGAGCAGAGTTGTCTGCCAGCCTGGAATGCTCACTTCATACTTCTACATATGATAGAATTTAATTTCTGTGTTTTTTAAAGCCACTGAATTATGTTAGGCCTTTGTGTTATAGTGATCTAACCTTATCTTAATTAACACAGGCACTTTACCTTAACAGAGATGAAGTCACCTAGTCACTGAGACATTGCATTGAAGGCATGAAGATGTAAGAACTTGTCTACCACTTTCCTCACAGATCTTAGGAAAGGACACTCTCAAGCCACAGTTTCTGACACTCCATTAATTGTATTTACAAGACAGAGTTTTGCTGCCTTTTTCAACTCCGTTTTCTACCTTCACTTCCACCATGTATCTATCTACCCACAAATAAAAATAAAAATAAAAAACCTATCCACAAGTAAAGTTCACCTGAGGTGTTAACTCCAATTAACACCAATCCCAAATAGCAATCTTCTCACAATGTTAGTAGACATATTAGGAAAATCTGAGGATTCCACTCTCTAAGTAAAGATAGGATCGGGGTAGTGTTCAGGTAGGTTAGAGTTCAGATACTGGGACACTCTTGGGCTCATAATCACAGAATGTTGGTAAGATTATCTCATGAGGCCCATCGTGGACACAAAAGGGATAGGACTGAATGTTTTCAGGCTATCATTGTTCTATTATTTTCTTACATAGAACAATTATTATCAGTTTCAAATAAATTTGTTGCAGGATGCTATGCATTTACCAAAATGATTTCTTATGTTCCTAGGCATTGTTAGATTACATTTTTGCAGCCTTAATTTCAGATGTGTCCACAAAACAAGTTTAGGCTAATGGAAAGTAAGTAGAAGTGATATAGGTCATTTTTGGACAAAGAGTTAAGAAGTAGGTATATCTTCCCTATGTTCACTTTATACTTTGGCTGAATGACAAAAGAGAATACTGAAGATCCAGAAGGGAATGCAGCCACAAGATGGAAGGAACTCATCTACCATATGAATGATCATAAGGAAAATCACCTGCCAACCAAGAACATCTGATTGGGCTCTATAAAATACTAGATTGTGATGTTTGTGTATTACAACGGCTAACTTTACTCATCCTAACTAATGTAGGGTTTTTCTGGAAAAAACATCCTGCAAACAAGGAGAAAAAAACACTGAGTTACTACCATTCATCATGTTACTAAGGCATTTAGACAGACTTACACAGTAAAAGCTCCCCTTCAGATGCCTATCTTAGGTTCCAAGGAAGGGTTAAAATGCTGTACCTTTTAAAAATTTTTTTAATTTCTAATTTTTGTGGGTATATAGGTGTATATATGTACAGGGTACATGAGACATTTTGCTACAGCATGAAATGCATTATAATCACATCATGGAAAATTGGGTATCCACCCCCTCAAGCATTTATCCTTTGTGTTACAAACAATCCAATTATATTACTTTAGTTATTTTTAAATGTACAATTAAATTATTGACTATAATCCCCATATTGTGCTATAAAACACTAGGTCTTATTCATTCTTTCTATTTCTTTTCATACTCATTAAACAACTCACCCCCCTTTGCCCCTTCACTCCCACCCCGCGATCCTTCCCAGTCTCTGGTAACCATCTTTCTATTCTCCATCCCTATGAGTTCAATTGTTTTCAATTTTGGATCTCACAAATGAGTGCGGATAACATGTGAAGTTTGTCTTTCTGTGCCTGGCTTATATCACTTAACATAATGACTTCTAGTTTCAGCCATGTTGTTGTGAATGACAAGAGCTCTTTTTTTTTTTTTTTTTTTTTTTTTTTTAAGGCTGACTAGTACTTCATAGTGTGTAAGTACCACATTCTCTTTATTCAGACATCTGCTGATGAACACTTAGGTTGCTTCCAAATCTTGGCTATTGTGAACAGCACTGCAGCAAGCATAGGAGTGAAGACAACTCTTCAATATACGGATTTCCTTTGTTTTGAATAGGTACCTGACAATGAGATTGCTAGATCACATGGTAGCTCCATTTTTAGTTTTTTGAGGAATCTCAAAACTTTTCTTCATAGTGGTTGTACTAATTTATATCCCCACCAACAGCGTGCAAATGTTTCCTCTTTTCCACATCCTTGCTAGAATTTATTGGTGCCGGACTTTTGGATAAAAGCCATTTTAACTGGGGAGAGATGATACTTCATTGTAGTTTTGAGTTGCATTCCTATGATAAGCAATGGTATTGAGCACATTTTCATATGCCTGTTTGCCATATGTATGTCTTCTTTTGAGAAATGTCTGTTAAAATGTTTGCCTATTTTAAAATTGTATTATTAGGTCTTTTTCCTACAAAGTAGTTTGAGTTGCTTATATATTCTGGTTATTAATGCCTTGTCATATGGATAGTTTATAAATACTTTCTCCCATTCTGGGGTTCTGTGGGTTGTCTCTTCACTTTGATTGTTTCCTTTGCTGTGCAGAAGCTTTTTAACTTGATGTGATCCCATTTGTCCATTTTTGCTTCGGTTGACTGTTCTTGTAGGGTATTACTCATGAAATCTCTGCCCAGTCCTGTGTCTTGGAGAGTTCCCCAATGCTTGCTTTCTTTTAGCAATTTCATAGTTTGATGTCTTATACTCAAGTCTTAATCCATTGTGATTTAATTTTTTGTATATGGGGAAAGATAAGGGTCTAGTTTCATTATTCTGCATATGAATATCCAGCTTTCCCAGCACCATTTATTGAAGAAACTTTTTCCCAATGTATATTCTTGGCACCTTTGTAAAAAAATGAGTTCACTCTAATTGTGTGGATTTGTTTTTGGGTTCTCTATTCTATCCCATTGATCTATGTGCCTGCTTTTTATGCTAGTACTTGGCTGTTTTGGTTACTATAGATGAACAGAATAATTTGAGGTCAGGTAATGCGATTCCTTTAGTTTTGTTGTTTTTGCTCAGGAAAACTTTGGCTATTCTGGGTCTTTTGTGATTCTATATAAATTTTAGGATTATTTTTTCTATTTTTGTGAAGCAGATAATAGATATTTTTATAAGGATTGAGTTGAATCTGTAGATTGCTTTGAGTAGTGTGGGCATCTTAACAATATTGATTCTTCCAATCTATGAACATAGGCTGTTTTTCCATTTTTTGGTATCCTCTTCAATTTCTTTTTTTTTAGCAGCATGATTATTTTATCATATACTTTATGAAAAACAAATGCCCAAAAACATACATCGTCCCTCCACCCACCATGGCCACTAGGGAGGGAGCTCACATCTTTCCTAATGTAGATCTGGCCATCTTATAAAGTAGACCACATTATTTGTTTCCATATATACCCGTAGACACTTCTCTCCCCTCAAATATTTCTAACTTAACTAAAAAAAGGAGGTCCACAGAGTATATAAAGGTAAATGAGATTTTCTTGCTGTTGTTATAGTACAAATACCAGATAACTACCAGGAGAGTAACCGGGGCAAAACAAAAACATAAACCCCACCTTCAGTGAGGAATGGAAGGTCTGTTACCTGCCTCAAGTAGCTGAATCACCTGCTGTAACTGGCACCTCCCTGACATTCATGGGTTTGTAGGGACGTGTGCCCAGTAATTGCTTCTACTTGTTTCCAGAGGGCACATGTCTCCTACACCCTTTCTTAGTAACTAAAGACAAACTATAGGAGAACTCTGTGTTTAGATTCTGCCCAGAGCTATTACATGCACAAGGAAAAACTAGTTACGTCCAAGTAGCAAGCAATAATATTTTTAAACCAACATTGTTAAATGTTAACATTTGTAGAAATCAAAATATTTATTCACATAATTTTAAACTAAAGTTGAAGCTAATAAATCTTCCATGGTAATGATTTAAGTGCAAGTGATGTTTGGTTTTCTTTCATATTCATTTCTTTTCTTCAGAGTGAAGGCATATCAGTTATTCTTGAACAAGTCAATACAATTCTGCAAAAGGGAGACACTGTTCCTGGCATGTTTTATTTCCAGTTCAGACATTTCAATTAAATTCTTTCTAAATGCTGCCACTCTCTTCCATTTGAATTTATTAGTTCTTCTTTTGCAGATTCAGAAAGCTGTTCAAATTTCTGGCAGCACTCCTGCTGGTGTGCCTCAACCAACTTGACATCTTTGCTCTTTAACCGGGTCTTACCCAGAGCTTTGTTTGAGTTCTCACAGTCAATGAGGGCTTTGGTGCATCTGTATAAGAGAGCCTTGGCAGCTTTGATGCTGAGCATGTAGTATCAGAGGAGCTCTGTTAGCGTTAAATCTTCATCTGATGAGACTTGACCCTCTACTTTCCTAAGTTTTTCAAATACCTCAGCAACCTTCAAAAGGTACTTTTTGATGACTGTGGGCTTTCCTAAGGCCAGGTTATATAAGCAGGCTGCAGTGTACGTTCAGTCATCAGCAACATTTTTATGAGATCTGGTCATTTTGTCAGCTTTCACACAAGAATCTTTGATCCTATTATGATAGTTAATAAGGAAGTTGTTCTCTTGCTCAAAGAAGTCATCTACTTCCTTAACTCCAGCAAAAAGGGCTTCATCAGCACTTTTCACCACACTTTTGAAGAAGCCACCAAATATCTCCTTAGCATTTTTCCTCCTAACACTTAGATTCTGATCGTATTCCAGGAAAACATGAAAGTTGCGACCTTTACTGAGAACAGGGTGAGAAGAAAGCTGCTGAAGAAAGACTTCATGGGAGGACACAGTCTTTGGAAAAACAGTGAGATACTCAGCTTCCAGTTTTGGTTTCATCTTGGCAAACTCTTCTTTGGTCACAGACCCTCCACCTTCTCCCTGTTTCTGCATCTTCTCTCGAGGACCATGGAAGTTGGGCTTCGTAGGCCCAGGCGGAATCTGCAGCAGAGGCAGGAACTCATGAGCCTGTTGTCCCAGCAGCGATGTTTTCTTGTTGGTGCCTCATTCTATCTACTCTTGCTGTACCATAGGAAACAACCACTTCACTCCTGTGGGGCTATTTAAAAGTCAACTCCTGTCTTTTCTTAATCTTCCTTGCTTCTTCGGGCCACTTAAAAGGAGGTGTCTTCCCGAGAATTGTGTATTTACCTTGACAGCAATCATTTTTTCAGTTTATCCACTACAGACAATCCTTCAGAGCACAACAGTGTCTATACTGCTTCAGTGCTGGCCTAAAACTAGTGCAATCTTGGCCTAAAATGAATGCTAAACACCAATGATTGGCCATCAAAATTATAAAGTGTCTAGTATTACAAAGGAATTTGTTTCCTAATCCCAAAGGATAATCAAGGACTCTAATTTTGAATGAACAGAACGTATCTAAATATAAGCTTCAGTACTAATTTTGTTCAATTATTAAGAAATCATCATTTGGACAGATTCTTCAGTCCGCCTGGCAGGACAAAAATGCATGGAAATTTCCTTTAAAATCAGTGAAGTCTCTGTTCCTGCAGCCAAGAATTAACAATCAAGGGCCGAAAACTGCCTCCTTGAGCACTTTTTTGTTTTTGGTAGACAGAGTCTCACTCTGTCACCCAGGCTGGAGTGAAGTGGCATGACCTCGGCTCACTGCAACCTCCACCTCCCAGGTTCAAGCAATTTTCATGTCTCAGCCTCCCCAGTAGCTGACACTACAGGTATGTACCACCACACCCAGCTAATTTTTTATACTTTTAGTAGAGACAGGGTCTCATCATGTTGCCTAGGCAGGTCTTGGAATCCTGAGCCCAGGTGATCTACCCACCTTGGCCTCCCAAAGTGCTAGGATTATAGGCATGGCCTCCTTCAGCACTTTTGAGAAATCTTATCACATACGAATACCAATACTAATGTTTCCTAGAAATCAATTCTACTGACATTGGAAAGAACATACTAGAGGAAAACTAAACCTAAAGGTAGATAAGACTAAAGTCATTACACTGTTTACATCCCTTTAAAATGTGAATAATGTAAGCTTGTATACATCACCTCAAAGCTGTAACACTATTCCTTCACATATTTTCCAACTGATCTACAGTTAGCACATACTCTAGTAGGTAGATGAAATCAAACTTTTCACAATCCATTATAAAAAATGGATATAAGTCTTTTTAAACTAAATGAATAACATGGCAGAGAGAACTAGCTTATTTGATTTTTTAAACACTCACAATAAGCCCAGCATAGTCTGTTCGATAAGAGTGCCATGTAGCCACACAAAGTCTTCATGTTGCCTTCTAACAGAAAACTCTGGGCTCTGACACGTGGGCAGTGTGGTCTTTGTGTGCACTGTAAATTTGACTTTATCCCTCTCACGGAGCACATCAGGTATGTCAATCTGGAGGGAGGGATCAACATTCAGGTGCAGAGATACAGATCTCAGCTTGCTGCAGTCCTCCTCCTGCTGCTGCAATGGCTTGGGAACCACAGCCATGGCAATGTGTGACTGGAGCAGGGGCTACCTGGCCTTGTTCTGCTCCACAAGGAGGACTCCAACTGCAGAGCCACATCAGGGATGCGAAGCCAGACACTCTCCCATCAAGAGAGAAAGCCTCTTCAATTTCTTTCATCAGTGTTTTATAGGTTTCATTGTGGAGGTCTTCTACTTCTTTTGTTAATTCCTAGTGCATTAATTTTATTTGTAGCTATTGTAAATGGGATTACTTTCTTGATTTCTTTTTCAGATTGTCCACTGTTGGCATATAGAAATGCTACTGATTTTTGCATGTTGACTTTGTATCCTGTAACTTTACTGAATTTATCAGCTCGAATAGATTTTTGGTGGAGTCTTTAGGTTTTTCCAAATAAAAAATCATATCATCTGTAAACAAGAATAATTTGATGTCTTCCTTTCCAGTTTGGGTGTCATTTATTTCTTTCTCATATCTGATTGCTTGAGCTAGGACTTCGAGTACTATGTTGAATAACAGTGGTGAAAGCGAACATCCTTGTTATGTTCCAGAGTTTAGAGGAAATGTTTTCACTTTTCCCCACTCAGTATGAGACTGTTAGTCTGTCATATATGGCTTTTATCATGTTGAAGTTTGCCTCTTCTACACCCAGTTTTTTGAGGATTTTTATCATAAAGAAATGTTAAACTTTATCAAATGCCTTCTTGTCATCAACTGAAATGATCATATGGTTTTTGTCCTTCATTCTGTTGATATGATGTATCATGCTGATTGATTTACATATGTTGAACCATCCTTGCATCCCCAGGATAAATCCCACTTCGTCATATGAATGATTTTTTTAATGTATTGTTGAATTTTGGTTGCCAGTGTTTTGTTGAGGATCTTTGCATCAACATTAATCAAAGATATTGGCCTGTGGTTTTCTTTTTCGGATGTGTCCTCATCTGGTTTTGGTATCAGGGTAATACTGGCCTCATAGAATGAGTTTGGAAGTATTCCCTTCTCTTCTATTTTTTTGGAACAGTTCAAGTAGGATTGCCATTAGATCTCTTTAAATGTTTGGTAGAATTCAGCAGTGAAGCCACTAGGTCCTGGGCTTTTCTTTACTGGGAGACTTTTCATTATGGCTTCTATCTCATTGCTCATCATTGGTCTGTTCAGATTTTGGAATTCTTCATGGTTTAATCTTGATAGGTTGTATGAGCCTAATAATTTGTTATTTCTTCTAGATGTACGAATTTATTGGCATATAGTTGCTCACAGTATCCTCTAATAATTATTTGAATTTCTGTGGTATCAGTTGTAATGTCTCCTTTTTCATATCTGACTTTACTTATTTGGGTCTTCTCTCTTAATAGTCAATGAAATTTCAAGCACATTATAATTAACAACAGCAGAATATACACTACTCTTCTCTTATCCAGAGGTTCATTCCAAGACCCTCAGTAGAGTCCTGAAACCACAGATAGTGTTGAACCTTGCACATATTTTGCACAAATTTCTGTTTCCTTCTTCACAATTTCATGCAAAGAAGATTCTTATTAATTGGAAAAATATGTCTTACAGTTGTATATCTTAGCAGCTTCAGCGTAAGATTTTTTCTTCCCTTCTTATTAAGTTGAGAACTTTCACCTTTTCACTTAAACAAAGCACTTTACAGTTTCTCTTTGGCATATCCAAATTGCCAGCATCACTACTCTTGTACTTCTATGACACAATTAAGTAAAATAAGGGTTACTTGAATACAAGTACTGTGATACAGTGGCAGTATCTCATAACCAAGATGGATATAAAATGGCTAATGGGCAGGTAGAGTGTACGGCATGGATTTGCCAAACAGGGAATGGACAATGTGAGATTTCATCATGGTACTGAGATTCATGCACAATTTAAAACTTATGAATTGTTTATTTATGAAATTTTCCATTTAATATTTTTGGACCATGGTTGATGGTGGGTAACTGAAACTGTGGAAAGCAAAACTGTGTATAAAAAGAACTACTAGTCTTTTAAAAATTATTATTACACCCTAAGTTCTGGGATACATGTACAGAACGTGCAGGTTTGTTACATAGGTATACATGTGTCATGGTGGTTTGCCACACCCATCAACCTGTCATCTACATTAGGTATTTCTCCTAATGCTGTCCCTCCCCTAGCCTCCCACCCTCTGATAGGCCCCAGTGTGTGCTGATCCTCTCCCTGTGTCCTTGTGGGGAACTAGTAGACTTTTCAAATGTGCTTGGAACATTTGCCAAGATACCCTACTGTGGGTCATAAAACACTTCTCAGTAAATTTAAAAGAACTGAAATCACACAAACTATGTCCTTTGAATGAAGTTAGAAAGTAACAGCAAGCAGAAATTTAGAAAATCTCCCAGGCATTCCAAACAATACACTTCTACATGGTAACTCATGAGTCATAGAAGAAATCACAAGGGAAATTAGGAAATACTTTGGACTGATTAAAAATAAAAACACAGTTTGAGGAATATAGCTAGGAAGTTCTTAGAGAAATTTATAGCATTAAGCTCATATTTGAAAATGAGAATGATCACACATAAATAATTAGACATTCACCCTAAAAATTAGAAAAAAAGCAATTAAATACAAAGCAAGCATGAAGAACAAATGAAAGATAAAAGCAAAAATCAGTGAAAAATAAAACAAAAATAATAGGAAAACATCATCAAAACTAAAAGCTGGTTCTTTGAAAGATCAATATAACTGATAAACTTTTAGACAAAATGGATAGGAAAAGAGAAGTCATTAGTTAGTTATCAGTTTCATGAATAATCAATATGATATCATAAACATCCTATAGGAATTAAAAAGAATATGAGGAAATATTAAAACAAATTCATGCCAATAAATTCACAAATTGAGAAAAAATTACAGACTCTTTCAAAAGCGCAAAAAAAAAAAAAAAGATAACCTGGAGAACCCTCCATCTATTAAAAAGATTAAAAGCCTTCCTGCAATGAAAACTCCAGACCCAGGTGGCTTCACTGGTACAATTTACCGAATATTCAAGATGGAAATACTACCATTTCTACTTTCTAGAAGAAAGTACATTTCCTAACTCACTCTGTGAGGCCAACGTCACCTCAATACTAAAAGACATTAGAAGTAAAAAGTTACAGGCCAATAACTCTCATGAAGATACATGAAAAAATCCTAAAAGTATTTTAGCAAATCAAATATTGCAACCCTTATAAAAGGCAATATATTATGATGAAGTGGGATCCTTGGAATGCAAGATCATCCTATTATTTCATAATGAATCAATTTAATTAATATATTGTCCAGCTTTTAAGAAACAAGATTGAGGATAGAAGATGGACAAATAGGAACAGCTCCGGTCTGCAGCTCCCAGTGAGATCAACGCAGAAGGTGGGTGATTTCTGCAGTTCCAACTGACGTACCCAGCTCACCTCATTAGGACTGGTTAGACAGTGGGTACAGCCCACAGAGGGTGAGCCAGAGCAGGGTGGGGTGTCGCCTCACCCAGGAAGCATAAGGGGTCAGGGAACTCCCACCCTTAGTCAAGGGAAGCCATGAGGGGCTGTGCCATGAGAAATGGTGCACTCCAGCCCAGATATTATGCTTTTCCCATGGTCTGCACAACCCGTGAAGACCAGGAGATTCCCTCGGGTGCCTACACCACCAGGGCCCTGGGTTTCAAGCACAAAATTGGGTGACTATTTGGGCAGACACCGAGTTAGCTGCAGTTTTTCTTCATATCCCAGTGGTGCCTGGAACACCAACAAGACAGAACCATTCACTCCACTGGAGTGAACACTAAAGCCAGGGAGCCAAGTGGTCTAGCTCAGCAGATCCCACCCCACAAGGAGCCCAGCAAGCTAAGATCCACTGGCTTGAAATTCTCACTGCCAACACAGCAGTCTGAAGTCAATCTGGGACACTCAAGCTTGATCAGGGGAGGGTCATCCGTCATTACTGAGGCTTGAGTAGGTGTTTTTCTCCTTACAGCATAAATAAAGCCTCCTGGAAATTCAAACTGGGTGGAGCCCACCACAGCTGGCAAAGTCACTGTAGCCATACTGCCTCTCTAGATTCCTCCTCTCTGGACAGGGCACACCTGAAAGAAAGGCAGCAGTCCCAGTAGGGGCTTATAGATAAAACTCCCATCTTTCTGGGACAGAGCACCTTGGGGGAAGGGGCAGCTGAGGGCGCAGATTCAGCAGACTTAAATGTTACTGTCTGCCAGCCATGAAGGGAGAAGTGGATCTCCCAGCAGAGCTTGAGAGCTCTGCTAAGGGACAGACTGCCTCCTCAAGTGGGTCCATCACCCTATGCCTCCTGACTGGGAGACACTTCATAGCAGGAATTGACAGACACCTCATACAGGAGAGCACTGGTTGGTATGTGGTGGGTGCCCCTCTAGGATGAAGCTTCCAGAAAAAGGAACAGGCAGCAATCTTCACTGATCTGCAGCCTCTGCTGGTGATACCAGGGCAAACAGAGTCTGGAGTGGACCTATCGCAAATTCCAGCAGACCTGCATCAAAGGGACCTAACCATTAGAAGGAAATCTGACAAACAGAAAGGAATAGTATCAATATCAACAAAAAGGACGTCCACTCAAAAACCCCATCCAAAGGTCACCAACGTCAAAGACCATAGGTAGATGAATCCCCAAAGATGAGAAAACACCAGCACAAAGGCTGAAAATTCCAAAAACCCAAATGCCTCTCCTCCTCCAAAGAATCACAACTCCTTGCCAACAAGGGAACAAAACTGGACAGAGAATGAGTTTGACAAATTGACAGAAGTAGGTTTCAGATGGTGGGTAGTAACAAAGTCTTCTATACTAAAGGAGCATGTTGTAACCCAATGGAAGGAAGCCAAGAACCTTGGAAAAAAGTTATAAGAATTGCTAACCAGAATAACCAGTTTAGAAAAGAACATAAGTGACCTGATGGAGCTGAAAAACACAGCACAAGAAGTTTGTGAAACATACACAAGTATCAATAGCTGAATCAATCAAGTGGAAGAAAAGATACAGAGACAGAAGATGAACTCAGGGAAATAAAGCATGAAGACAAGATTCGAGAAAAAGAATGAAAAGGAACAAACAAAGCCTCCAAGAAATATAGGACTATGTTAAAAGACCAAATCTACGTTTGATTGGTATATCTGAAAGTTATGGGGAGAATAAGACTAAGTTGGAAAACACTCCTCAGGATATTATCCAGAGAACTTCCCCAATCTAGCAAGACAGGCCAACATTCAAATTCAGGAAATACAGAGAACACCACAAAGATGCTCCTCGAGAAGAACAACCCCAAGACACAAAATCATCAGATTCACCAAGGTTGAAATGAAAAAAAAAAAAAAAAGTGTTAAGAGTAGCCAGAAAGAAAGGTCAGGTTTCCCACAAAGGGAAGCCCATCAGACAAACAGTGGATCTCTCAGCAGAAACCCTACAAGCCAGAAGAGAGTGAGGGCCAATATTCAATGTTCTTAAAGAATTTTCAACCCAGAAATTCATATCTAGCCAAACTAAGCTTCCTAAGTGAAAAAGAAATAAGATAATTTATAGACAAGCAAATGCTGAGAGATTTTTGTCACCACCAGGCCTGCCTTACAAAACCTCCTGAAAGAAGCACTAAATATGGAAAGGAAAAACTGGTACCAGCCACTGCAAAAACATACCAAATTGTAAAGACCATCGACACTATAAAGAAACTGCATCAACTGATGGGCAAGATAACTGGGTAGCATCATAATGACAGTATCAAATTCATACATAACAGTATTAATCTTAAATGTAAATGGGCTAAATGCCCCAGTTAAAAGACACAGACTGGCAAACTGGATAAAGAGTCAAGACCCATTGGTGTGCTGTATTCAGGAGACCCATCTCATGTGCAAAGACACACAAAGGCTCAAAGGGATGGAGTAATATTTACCAAGCAAATGGAAAGCAAAAAAAAAAAAAAAAAAAAAAAAAGCAGGGTTTACAATCCTAGTCTCTGATAAAACAGACTTTAAATTAACAAAGATTAAAAAAAAAACACACACGAAGGGCATTACATAATGGTAAAGGTATCAATCCAAGAACTAACAATCCTAAATATATATGCACCCAATACAGGAGCACCCAGATTCATAAAGCAAGTTCTTAGAAACCTACAAAGAGACATAGACTCCCACACAGTAATAGTGAGAGACTTTAACACTCCACTGTCAATATTAGACAGATCAATGAGACAGAAAATTAAGAAACCTGCACATTCTGCACATGTATCCCAGAACTTAAAGTGTATGTATATATGTATATATAATTTTGCCAAAAGCTTATGATTGTCTTCGTTGACACAGGAAAAGCTTTTGGCAAAATTCTGTATCCATTCATGATTGTTAAAACCCTAAATTCCTAATAATCGAAGGAAAATTTTTCAACTTGATAACAGACAAATATGAAAACCTATAATTTATATCATACATAAATATCTAGAAACGAAAGC